TTTTATTCTTTTACTTAAAAAATTCTCATGGGGCGCCCGGGTGGCTCAGTCAGTTAAGTGTCTGCCTTCGGCTCAGGTCATGATCTCAGGTTCCTGGGATGGAGCCCCGCATCAGGCTCTCTCTCTCTCTCCCTCTCTGTGTCAAATTTTTTTAAGATTTTATTTATTTATTTGACAGAGACACAGCAAGAGAGGGAACACAAGCAGGAGGAGTGGGAGAGGGATCTCAGGGTCATGAGTTCAAGCCCCACATTGGGCGTGGAGCCTACTTTAAATTAATTTTAAAAAATTTAAAAAATTCTTACGTTGATAATCTAGCTCATTAATTTTTTAGCTTTTCCTCTCTTGTAACCCTCTAAATACCATTTTCACTGCATTCGGCGTGTATTGATTAACAATATTAACATTTTGTTTTAGTTCTAAGTATTAGTAAGTCTGTATGTGATCTCTTCTTTAATACAAGAGTTATTTAATGCAAGAGTTTTTTATGTGGGCATTTTAAAGTCTCCAAACATAGTAACTTACAATTCCTGTTGTCACAGGTTTTCAAATAAAATATATTGTGGTCAGAGAACATCATCTATGTCATACACACTTGCTATTTGTTGAGACTTTACTGCACTCTATAGTAGCAATTATTTTAAGTGTCATATCTGTTTGAGAGCATATATTCTGTAATTGTGAGGCATGGATTTTTACTCCCCATAATTATTAAATTGTGTTGTACAAATATGTATCCTTACTGGTTTTTCCATTTGCTCAATCTATCAATAACCGGGGGAGGTGTATTTAAGTGGATCACCAAAGTGATGGATTTGCCAATTCTCCTATTTAATTCTACCAATTTCTGGCATATAATCTGAGGCGACTTCATTGAGCACATACAAATTTAGACCTATTATACTTTCCTGGTGGATTAAACTTTTAACTATGTAGATGCTTTACTTCTCATTATGCTTTTTGTATAAAAAGAACTTTTGTCAGGGCGCCTGGGTGGCTCAGCTGGTTAAGCGTCTGCCTTCGGCTAGGGTCATGATCTCAGGGTCCTGAGATTGAGCCCCACATCGGGCTCCCTGCTCTGCGGGAAGCCTGCTTCTCCCTCTCCCACTCCCCCCGCTGGTGTTTCCTCTCTCACTGTCTCTCTCTCTGTCAAATAAATAAAATCTTAAAAAAAAAAAAAAAGACTTTTGTCAATATTAAAATAATTCCCTTAGCTTCTTTAGGTTAGTATTCTCCTGGTAGATTCTTTTAATTCTTTTACTTATAGTTGTTCATTGTTCTTATATTTTTGTGTGTCTTTCGTATATAACCTATTGCTCCAACCGACTTTTGAGCTCACCTTAATAATCTCTTTTATTTAACCAATATTTTGTCTGTTTTCTTCACATATTTGGGCTTTCTGAAACTTTGAGTTCTATTTGTCCCATATTTAGATGCTTATTTTTTGCCTTTCTTTGGACAATGAGTTACTTCCCTACTTTTGTTTTTAAATTATTTCTAATTTTCTCTCCACTATTTAGAATATTACTTACTCCATTTCTTATAATGAGTATCCTTAATATTGCATTATTATTAATAATTTCATAATTTAATGTAATAATCTATTAGTGCATACTTAGTATCCAAAGTTAACCAACATCTTAGAGCTTTTGTCCCGAACAATTCATGAATGCTAACACACTCAAATTCTGAGCACCCTACCCCAATTTACATGCTATTTCTATTCTCTAGTAGTTTGTCCAAATTAGAGTCGTCGTGGAAGAGGGCCTTTCAGAATATCTCCTCAGAGTTAAAGAAGGAAGCAGAGGTCTTCTTAGTTTCTGGATCCAGTTTTCTGCTTTTGTATTGATGTTTCCTGGCTCATGGTTAACTCATCACTGTTTGGGTACTTTCTTCCAACTGCTCCCCAGCTCTTAGCCTTGAACTGCTTCTTGGTAGAGCTTTTGCAGAGAGTCAGTAAATGAACTGAAGGTTCAAACAATTGCTGTAGTTCTCTTCCTGAGATCGTTCCTTGCTAAGTAGTCTCTTGGACTCTTCTAAGGCATCATAAGATGTACAACTAATGGAGGAACCACAGATAAATGTGCCCAGAGTAGTAGTCTTACAGGAAATCCTGGGAATTTACAGTTTCAATTATCTTTCTGTACAAATGGCCTTTTGAAGCCTTGTCATATTCTGCACAGATCATTGCTAAGATTTATACTCTATTTAAATGAAGATTATTATTTTTTTATTAAGATTTTATTTGACAGAGAGAGAGACAGCGAGAGAGGAACACAAGCAGGGGGAGTGGGAGAGGGAGAAGCAGGTTTCCCGCAGAGCGGGGAGCCCGATGCGGGGCTCGATCCCAGGACTCCAGGATCATGACCCGAGCCGAAGGCAGACGCCCAATGACTGAACCACCCAGGTGCCCGAAGATTATTATTTTTCATACACCTTTGCAGAGGATTGGGTCTTTTTGCTCCAGCTACCTATTACTTCTGCTTCTGGAAGTCTTTATATAAGCTCTGTTCTTTAGCTCCCAGTTTCCACTGAAGAGCCCCTGTCCTTACAAATAATTTAGACTGTGCTCTTTTTTAAAAAATAAAATTGCATTCCCTCTTCTCCCTTTTTACCTGAAACTTCCATGAACATACACATACAGTAAGAACAGGAACTGTTCATTATAGGATATCCTTACTTTTGCTGCCCTGACAAGAATTCTTTGTTTCTTCTTATTATTAAGGATCATTTACAATGACTGATATCTAAGGAGAGACCAAAACTTGTCCTTGCCAGCTTCTTAGGGCTTCCCCAAGGAGGAATCAAGTTATTCCACCTAAAAGGAGATGTGTTCATCAATGTGTTTGAGAACATTGAATTCTGCCAAAGCAGATTAGTGAGTACATGGGTAGGGCACCCATTTTTTGGCTCTTAGTCTGTTCCTCTCCCACAAATCAGATTAATGGGTCAGTTGGCCAACATCACTAGAAATTTAAGGAGACAGAAAAAAAATTATGTATTTCTCTCAGGGAAAGTTATTGTGGCTGGAAGAAATACTTTGGTCAGCTGAGGGAGATCTTAGAGGTAAAACTAAAAAATATCTGTGTGGAAGACTACCAAATTATTCATGTGCATGGCATATAATAATTCACTATTTCTCAGTACAGCTTTTGTTCTCCAAAACCATCACAGGGTCAGATTAACTCTCACCTGGTTGATGTCCTTCCTGGGAGCTTGGTGAATCAAAATGGCTTAGGAAGGGGTGCACACTAGCTTATTTTCCTCATGCAAGAGGGCGATCTAGAGGTTGTTGCTCTGACATGTGAGGCTTGGAGTGAATGGTCTCTGCCAACTTTGCAGGACTCGGTGGAGTGTTTTCTTGTTCACCATTTTGCTGCGCAGTGAAAAGAATGCACGTTCTATTAGATCCTTCTGTTGAGTTGGGCTCTGGAGAAAGAGCATTTTTTAGCTTGCTTTGGTTCTAGTACTTTGATGTTAATCTACCAAATGAATTCTCCATGGGGTTCATCGGAGTTCACTAGATTCTGCTCTAGACTTTGAGGCCTAAGTTCCACATAATAAAAATATATTCTGCCTTGACCTCTTTCCATTTATTTCTTTTGGGTAAGTGAGATGGAGAAGAGGCTGAATATTCCTTGGTTATTCCTAAACTAAATGGCCAAAAGCTCAAATATTATTTTAATTTCATAACTTGATTAGTATGTGCCTTAATTTCCAACAATCTACCAATTTCCTTGAGTTGTTGATTTAGAGTACTTTATAGTTTCCTCCAAGTATTATTTTTAAAACCCTCTTTATTCTCTAGAAACTTTAATTTAGTATGGTATTCAAGAACACCAGTGTTCAACTGTTTACAAAATTCTACAGGGAACCCCTTAAGGGTAACCTGTGGCCCAGCACCTGCCCCTGTTCAGCTGTAGTCTCTTGCTCACTGCAGGTTCTTGCATGGGCCCTTCTGCTGCAAACTTCAGTTCTGCTCATGCTCAGGTTTAGGAGACAGCATGCCCCCCCACGAACCTCAAGCAGAGATTTAGTGTCAGCATATGAAACTTTGCTGGGGGATCGGCAATAAAAGAACTATTTGATGTTCCAACAAACTGGACCAGTCTCTCACTTTTCCTCATGTACAATTCTCTTGACAGTTTCTCACTTACTGCAGTAACGCAGGTAAAACAGTGAATAAAGTCACTGTTCTGTTAGAACAAATTTGTTCTGTTACCTCCAGAATTGTATCAGCTCCCGTAATTGATATGAGCTAGGAAAAATGATCTCTTGGGGCTGTATTTCACCCAGCACAAATATGTTTAGCCTTCAGATCTAGGGTTCAGAAATGTCTGCCCATTAGGCGTGTCTTCTGCAAACCACAGGCACGGATCTTACCTCAGTATGCCATCTATTCCCTTTGGCTCTGCTAACCATGACCAGCCTCATGGAAAACTACTTTGTACTCTCTGATGTCTTTGTATGTATGATGTTCAGAACTATCTGGAACCTGAAGCATTGGGAACTGAGTAAGATGCAAAGTTCCAGAAACCAGGGAACGTGGCTGCCAGTGTTACTTTTATTTATTACGTATGTGTATATCTCCAGGACAATGACAGACTGGTATCAAAGCAAAACTGGTCAACTGGAGTATCATTACTGACCAAAATGAGAATTGCCTTGTTGAGCTGGTAGGGCTGAGCCGGGTTATCCCACCCATTTTCTCTGTACACACTGGCACATAATGGACTGAGAAACAGCTGAAGAAACCAGGCACAGAAGACAATCTCCCTTCTCATGCTTTAATCCCATACCCTATGCTCCACTTATGGAGGACGCTCATCCAGTCCTTGCCACTCCCACAAGCAGAGCAGGTGAGGTTCATAATTATTCAACCTCATCTCCAAGGAACCTTTATCAGGAAACAGAGATCCTACTATCAGGTCATGAGATAATACTATTTAGTTCTTAATTACATAAAAATGAGATCACATAAGAAAAAGCAAACAACGCAATTACATGAAAGCCATTTACTCCTGGTAAATTCTTCAGGGTCCCAGGTGCTGGGGTTCCTAATTTTCCCTGATATCAGAGAACCAAGGCGGGGATGACAGGGGCTGGGTGTCAGTATAGTCTTGATGGCCTTAGCCAGCAGCAATAGCGTTTAAAAATTTTGCTCCATAATTTGGTCTCAGGTCTTCTCGTGTTCTTCATATAAAGGAAGTGACCCAATCAATCATGACTCTGTAATTACTATAGTACCTATGTAAGCTGATATGGTTCCAAAATCCCCTCACAAACCCATGTGAAGAGGGCAGGAGGGGTGGGCTTGTACACGTCTGGGAATGTAAATGCTATCATGGTTTAACTGACTCCCCCAGCACCCAACTTGCGCCTCACTTTTGCAGAAGTGCTAGGGGCAAATCCAAGAGGCTGGTGGAACACTAAGAAGGGTGGGCATGAGTATTCTAACAGGAAAGCACCCCACAAGGAAAGAGGCTTCTGACTAGGTCCTCCTTTCTAGCAGGGTCTGGCACCTGGTATTTTGGCAATGGGTAAGGGAGCAGCCTGACAAGGTCCATGGGAAACAGCCTCGAGGTTTTCCCCTGTCAGACACTTCTCCCATCTCTCCCCAGGATCAAAGGAAAGTGCATGGTGAAGAACTGAACCAGTGAGAGATTTGTAGTTATCCTGTGAGTGTGTGGCAGAGCCATGAGGATGCAAATCTCCTGCCTTGAGTTCAGGGCTGTGTGCTTTAAGATTTGAGCCCAGTAAGGACAGAATCCTAGAGGCTGGTCCCTTACCATACCTAAAGGGCCGTCCTGGGCAACTTTATACTTGAGGCTGTGAAGCAGTCTTTAGGATATGCAACAGCCTATTTTGGGCAAAATATAATAACCACAACCTCGGAAGTCTTCTAAATCTCCTCCTTCACACCCATGAGGTAGAGGCAGGAACACTCCAGTCAAGGAGAAGCCTCCACCCAGGTTGTACTTTGGGCAAAAAAATCTCCTCAAGGTGTAGAAGAAGGTTGAGAGGTTCTATCAGGGGGATTTTAATTTAGCTGTGGGAAGAGGTGATGGAGATCTGGGCAAGTCAGGGAGACTCCCTGGAAAAGGTCTTCCCGAGCTGACAAGAGGGCATCTCCTTGCCCATCCCTGGGTGAGGGCTGAATGCAGACCTCCTCACACAGGAAGCTAGCTAGGAAGTCTTTTCTGAGTGGGTCCTCTGATGCCTGATTAAGTGATAGCCCCTGCTGAAGCTTTTTCCACAGGTAGGGCACGTGAACGGTTTCTCGCCAGTGTGGGTTCTTTGATGCCTGACAAGGTGGTCCCTCCGACTGAAACTTTTCCCACATTCGTTGCACCGGCAGGGCCTCACTGAGGCGTGTCCTCGCAGGTGCTTGGCAAACGCAGCGCTGTGGTTGAAGCACCGCCCACACTCGCTACAGAGATACAGCTCCTCAGCTGCGTGGGTCTTCCGGTGCGCCAGATACCGCCTGTGGTCGCTGAAGTCCTCCCCACACTCTCCACACAGGTAGGGTTTGCCTCCGAGGTGGATTCTTTGGTGTGTTGTCAGCACAGACTTCTGGCTGAAGCTTTTGCCACAAATAGTACAGAAGAAGGGTTTTTCTCCTGTGTGTGTCCTCTGATGCCGGACAAGGTCTGAGGTCCAGCGGAAGTGTTTTCCACAATCGTCACACCTATAGGGTTTCTCAACAGGTGGAGTTCTCTCAGCCTGGACCAGAGAGGAGGTCTCATCCAAATTCTTCCGGTTTAGGGGAAATTTATAAGGAGTGCCCATTTTGTGAACCTTCTGGTGCCTGGCAAGATGCGAGCTCCGCGTGTAACTTTTTCCACACTCCATACATTTATAGGGTTTCTCTCCTGTATGAGTTCTTAGGTGTCTAACAAGGTGGGAGTTACAAGTGAAACTTTTCCCACATACAGGACAGTCATGGTGTCTCCCTAACAAGGGGTGGATAGGCATGGTTTCCCGAAGATTCGATAAACTATTAACTTGAGAAATACTTGTACCAAATCTTCTTTCGTTAAGTCTATTTGGATCATCCTCAAAGACTATTTCCCAGTCTGGAGTCTGGTGGATTTCTGGATCTCCCAAAATAGATCTGTGTAGATCTTCCAAACTTAGATCTTCCTGCTCAAGATACTCTTCTTCATCTTCACTCCTATCTCCTGCAGAGAGGGTGAGAGAACAGAGAGAAATTATAGAGGGGATGATGCATTCCACACAACGGCGGGGTTTTTAAACTGTCTTGGGAAGGCAAGACCACACAGAGAGAAGCCCATATTTCATAACTGCAGAGGCTGGGAAAGAAGGAAATAACTGGTCAACTGATTTCTTATATGGTATCTCATGCTGTCGACAAGCCTCGGTGTGGACAAAGATTATTATCCCCATTTCACAAATGTGGACACTGAGGACCAAGAGGTTAAGTGACCTGCTTCATACATGACTATAGCTGCATTCCGAAGTTCCCATTTTTTCTCTTTCACCATCTTACATTACATCCCCCTCACACGAATGATGGGAGGGAAAGAGGAGGGTGAGGACAGAAGAATTTGGCATTCAGAGGGGGACAGGGGTGATGGCCAACAGGTTAGAAGAACCAATGAGAGGGGCACCCCAGAGGGAGAGGGGAAGTGCCAGCTCTGTGGGGGAAGATGCCTTTTGTCGTTCCTCACCTGTGTAGGTAAAACTCAGGATTTCTGGCTCTTGAGGCTCTTGAGGCTCTGGGATATCTGGGACCAAAGGCTCTTCCTCTCTAACGTGGGAGATCTCATCTAGTCTGGGGATTGGAAATGCTGCTCAAGAGAGGGAAAGCGGGACATTATGATTGGTTCGGCAATTCCCTGTGTTAAGAGCAGATCTTTGCTGTTGGGTAGACTGCAGAACAAATGGACAGCCCAGTCAGTGGATCCAATCTGGTCTTTTTAGCTTGAGCACCTCTCACCAAATCCTGCATATTTCATGCCCTTTGTCTGCGACTCAATAATCTAGGACCGCTAATGCTCCCTCTTTCCCCGTATTCAAGTAAGCAGATCAACTTCTATTGCTTGTTTCAAAACTCACAGGCTACCTCCAATATACTAAAGCTATATATTATAATTTTATTCTCTTATTAGAAGTTTCCAACCACTTTCTAAGCATTTCCTCTTCCCTTTAACTTGGAAGGATATCGTCTTGCTTATATTATAGCTCCTCCTTCAATTTCACTGGGGGGGGCAGGCGTAAGAGAAGCGTGGTGCATATAGTCTAAGATCTAAGACCCCCACGATTTCCAACAGAAGAAAAGACCTCTGTGCTCAGAACACCCTAGAAACACTTGAAATTCCTTACACAAAGAGACCACAATTCCACAGTCTTCTTCCAAGACATATTCTCCATAGAACTCTTTCTGTGCGGGATCCAGATCGCTCCACTGGTCCTGGGAGAAGCACACAGCCACGTCCTTGAAAGTTACCAATCCCTGAAACGACACAGGCTTCAGTTAAAAAGGGGCGCTTCTTGGAGCCGCCCGTTTTGTTCCTGGAATGAAGGTTACGCCCGGAGACAAAAGGAACGCACACAGGACTCCGGGCTCCCTTGGGGAAATCTGTGGCACCCTCAGCTGCTGCTCCCCGACTTCCTACTTCCTCCTCCGGGCCCCCCGGTCCCACCACTTTCTCTCAGGGCAAGCCTCTGCTCTTCTTCTTGAGCATATGGGTTAACGTACAAGAAAAGTCTTAAAGTCCTAATTAACTCCCTAATTGATGCCTTAATACCACCTACGTTTCTGCAAAAATTCACCTTTTCTGGAAAGCTCTCCCTAACTGACCTTCTCCAGGGACCCCCATCACCTACATGGTCGGCAGAGCACACACAGGCCCTTTTGCTGCAGCTAGACTACAATCTGAAACCACGGATGCTTCTTTTCCTTTTCTCTCCAGCCTCTAGCTTAGTTTTCGGGCCCTGACCATTTTAAGGGATTCCTGTGAGTCGTGGCCTGAGTGCAGTCCTTACAAGAGGATACCACACAATTTTGGAAATCATTTCTGCAGCAGTCAGCCATTCTTACAAATGACTATCAAGTTTACTCCTTAAAAAAAAAACAAAAAACAAGCCTTCATTCAGCAACTTCCAGGTTGTACTGGAGAGTTCTAAAATAATCCTATTTTGTTAGTTCCTCCCTCTGGGCAGTGGCAAATAGAGAGGCTCTGGAGCCTGCAGATCCAACTGAGACTATGATAATTCATCCCATTCGATTCAACTCCTGCTGTAGACACGTCTAGAACTGAGAACTTAAGTTGGCAAAAGGAGGGTGGAAATTTGTGTCCTGTCTGACCCGTTCAGTATACAGCTAATGCCTGATGGTTCTTCAAATTCTCTGAGGCACAGAGGGAAACTAGAGCACACCTGTGAAAGAGCAGTAAGAAGGGCAACCATCTCTGGGTTTCCAGTGTTCCTCTCTTCAGGAAGGTCTGGGTCCTGGGACACTGGAACCTCTACGAAGAAAAGAATGCGGAGATCAGCAATATGCAGTTTGCCCAGGTAAGTGGCAAACAGCCGAGTAGCTCTCATGCTCTTTGGTAGGAATCAGGAAACTGGCCCAAGGGCAGCTCGAATCATCCCAGTGCCACCATCTGGAACACTACTGAAATGCCAAGAGAACAACCAAGGATTGGTTGGCTATTAAAGCTCGGCCCAGTTTCTGGGGGACTCTAGCTAGTACCGTCTCCTCTCAACACCCTGGATTCTGTGATTTATTCCCACTATGCTCCCCACACCTAGCCTCCTTAGTAGAGGGGAAATATCCCCCTTCCCACGCTCTGCCCGTCACAATGCCCCGCTTCTGCTGAGGCTTCCCACCGCTCTCCTGCAGGGGCTGGAACTCCAATTCATGGCACAGGCTCTGCTCTTCTGGTGGCCCCAGACTGGGGCTCTGTATGGTCTCCTCACGGGACGCCTCGGGAGTCGAGGTCTGCACAGGGTTCTGCAGCTCACTAGGTGACTCGGGCTCTGCTTCCGGATGCACCGTCTCCTCTGACAGGACTTCCTGGCCATGAACATGGACAGTCACCTGGGAATAATTCCAATTTCCAGTCAGCATGGAGTCAAGAGGAAAGTCTCGGTTGACATCAGGGCTTATTTTTGGAGAACCTGCCAACAGGAACACTCCCAAAGGGTCCCAGATGAGAAGGGGAATCTCTGGTTCCATTGGGGCACGCAAGAGTTGTTGCAGGTTATCCTCACCAGGACAAGGCAGGGATGTTTGGATACTGCACAGCTTCCTTACTCTCCTCAACCCTGCCCGTCACCCAGGGCTCTAAGACACCCATCCTTCCCATCTCTACCTCTCCCACCTGTAGCTCTCTCCTTGTTTTTGCTTCCCTGTCTTATGGTCCTGGGGGAGGGGTATCTGTGACTGAGAGTCTAGAACTTTTGAGGAAGTAACAAAATTGGCCTCCCCAGGAACTAGAGGTTCAAAAGCCAAAGAAAGGAAAAAACCGTATGACCCTTGAGTGCTGAGATCCCTAAGATCCTCCCTAGGCAGGTGTTTCAAAAACGAGAAAGTCACACTCACTCACACACAAACACACACAAACACACACCTCTGCCCCTTACGGATCTAGGTGCAACCTGAGAGCACAGCCAATTAGTTTTAAAGGGTAAATGATGGGGGACCTGTATGCCCTACCCCCAAATCCATCCTTCCAGCAAACAAATAAGCCCCCTCCACATCACATAGATCAGGACTCCCCCTCCTCACCCACCGCCTTGGTCTCCTGGGTTGTTTCTGCAAACCCTCCACCAGCGTCACCGCCTCCTCGCCACTCTCTGGCCGTTGGCCCCGCACCCAGCTCTGCAGTTCTCCAGGCAGGACGGTAAGGAACTGTTCCAGCACAAGCAGCTCTAGGATCTGCTCCTTTGTCCGCCTTTCAGGCCTCAGCCACTGATGACAAAGTTCTCGCAGTCGAATGAGAGCTTCTCGAGGGCTTGCGGCTTCCTGGTAGCGAAAGCGCCGGAAGTTCTGGTGTGAGGTCTCGAGCACAGGGTCATCTCTCTGTAAGACAGACTCTGGCCTACAGGTGAAATCATCTTCCAATTTCACCATCAGAATTCCCTCTTCTTCCCAAAGATCCTGGTCCTCTGGTTCCAAGGCTGTAGCCATTGTCTGGCTCTCGGAGGGAGGGGTCTCACACCATCTAGAGCTCACACTGTCATTAGCCCCCAGTCTCAGCCTGGGCACCTCAACGAGTTTCTCCCAAGGGACCTGGGGCAGAGAAGTAGAGACAAACATGAGTATAAGCATGAGATTATACACAGGGAAAATAGTTCTGAGTTCACTCATAACCCCGCACACATAACACTTCCTTATACTATTAAATCCCCTGCCCCCAATTTCCGCAACCATCAGCTATAAATAGATTTGGCTGAAATCGGATGATCTATGCCTCAAGTATGTTCTCTTACCCCTCGTCCTTGGCCAGGTTCACACCCCATAGAGAAACAGAAAAAAACTGCATCTCTTCTTCAAGAACCCTGTGAACCTCCAAGGAGAATGGCAAGGACCAAGGACGCTGCTCATTGCCTGCTGGAACATGTGGTACTGACCACATCACACACACGTTTACATACACACCAGGAGAAGAGACACATCCGCCAGGCTGAAACAGATGGGGAAGCCTTTATAAAGGCTCATTGCAAACTGAATTACACTCGATATGAATTCCTCTGTAAAATGGGGACTCTCAAGAGATTTGAGGGGCAAATTGTGTGAGGTAACAGTGAGGAAAGCCCCTTACACAGTGGCGGGTACACAGGCACTCCCAAGAGCAACCTTCCGCTTACTAAGACATCTTAATGGGAAGACTTCCGGACCCTCAAACCCAAGTGTTCAAAACTGAACTCATTCTGCTGACTCCCAAATCCACCCCTCTTCCCAAGATCCTGTCTTGGCTGAGATCATCACTAGCTAAGTAAACACTCAACTTTGTAATCTTTAGACTCAATTCTGATTCTTTCCCATTGCTTACAGCCCATTAAACCAATTCTACCTCGTAAGCCTCTAAATCTGTTTCCTCCTCTTTGCCAGAGACCGCTTTAGTTTGGGCCCTCAGCTCTCGCCTGGACTATTGACCTAACTTCCTAACTGGGATCCCTGCGTACTCGACCATCAGTAAAGGGCAGCATAATTATGGTGAAGCTTTTGCAAAATAAGTATCGCTCAACACTCTTCTGGATACTTGGGATTTAGTCAACGTAGGCAACTGTATCTTTAGAAATGCTACAGGTGGTCCTGATGTGTGTGATGGTGGAGGAACCACCTAGGGCGTGTAAGGTAAGGAGTGAGTCTGGTGTCAGGGGTTAAATTTGGGCTGTACCGTTTAGTAGGTGTGAGGCCAATAGTTGAGTTCCTATGCTCCCTATGCCTGTTTCCCCATCTGTGGCATGGAGGTAAGGATGGTATCCATCTAATAGCGTGACTATGAGAATTAAACATATCACCTTCTGGGCGCCTGAGTGGCTCAGTTGGTTAAGCGACTGCCTTCGGCTCAGGTCATGATCCTGGAGTCCTGGGATCGGACTCCCTGCTGAGCGGGGAGTCTGCTTCTCCCTCGGACCCTCCCCCTTCTCATGCTCTCTATCTCATTCTCTCTCTCAAATAAATAAATAAAATCTTAAAAAAAAAAAATTAAAGGGGCGCCTGGGTGGCTCAGTCGGTTAAGCGGCTGCCTTCGGCTCAGGTCATGATCCCAGGGTCCTGGGATCAAGCCCCACATCGGGCTCCATGCTCAGCGGAAGCCTGCTTCTCCCTCTCCCACTCCCCCTAGTCTCTCTCTCTGTCTCTCTCACTGTCAAATAAATAAATAAAATCTTTAAAAAAAAAAAATTAAAAAACATATCACCCTCTGCCAAGTGCTCAGAAGAGCAATGGCAACCCAATGTTAACTATCTTTCTAAATTATAGTCCCAACTACACTACTCAACATTTAAAAATACTTCTGTTAGTAAGATCAGCTATAACATCCTTGGCATGGCACATGAAGCTCTTCACAATCAGCCCTCAGTTGATTTTTCAAGCCTAATATCCTCCCCTTTGCTGTGTTATCACGGAGCTATCATGGGTGCACTGCTGATCTTCCAATCGAAAGGGGGTGTCTTTTCAGGACACCATGCCTGTAGGAAGGCTGTTCCTTCTAAATGCAATGTTCCCACCCCCCACCTCCAATGCTGCATGGTGTGTTCCATTTCTTCACATGGCCCCCTCTTCTTCATTCCTATGATTTACACCCTAGCTCCTTATCAGTTCTTGTCTGGATTACTCCAACTGCCTCCAATCCTGAGCCACCTGCCTCCAAGTTTGTTACCTTCAAGTTACCAAGGACAGTATCACAAGAGTGACCGGCACTCTTGGCAAATGTGATCATGTCCCTTTCCTATTTAAGATCCTCAACCATTCCTCTGTCTCGTAAGTGAAAAACAAACTCCTAAGTATTATAGATTAGGCAGACTTTCCTTTCTCCCTCCTCTTCAATCCTTCTCAATACACGCAGCACGCCCATGCGTGCACACACACACACACACACAGTGTATGCCTGTGAAGCACACACAAATCCCGTCTCTTTGGCTTTAGAACATGTTGTTCCTTCTGAGTCTTTACCCTTCATTAGGTGAAACTTTACTTCTAAGACAGCTCAGACTTCATGTTTTCTGAGATGTTTTCTTTGATCCCATTCCCCTTACCCTTAAAATGGTGAGAAATCACTGTGCTTCTGCAGCAACCTGGGCACACCTCTATCACCACATCTGTGGTATCGATCCTGGGATACCGCAGATACAGCCACTGGTTAAGCTTCCTATGAAACTCCTTCAACTTTCCAACATGCATAATAAAGTGCATGGTAAGGAAATTTAAATGAATAAAGTTTTCTTCCTCTTTTTTATCAGCAAGAATCCACCTTTCCCTCCACTGTTTCTACACTTTTTTATTCACCGATCTTGTTAATCCTTCCTTCTAAATGTCTTTCCAATTCATCCATCTCATCTCCATTTCCATTCCCCTGGTTGAGCCATTATGAACCACTGAACGGTATCAGTAGGACCTTTTAAAAACATGACCGTCTCCTACACCACACTGGTATGTAACAGTCACTTGTATGTTGAATGAACGACTGTTCAAGTCACCCCTAGTCTTCCCAGTCCTGCCCCCTCCAAAACCCTCCCCACATGCAACCTGAAGGGTTCTTCATTTTTCAGTCTTTTGGGTCTTCATTACCTCAGCCTCAGATCCACCTTCAAGGTTGGCAATCCGCTCTTAAGAGCTGGGTCTAATTAGATGCTGCCCATCAAATTGAGTTTAATTTCAATGACCCTATTATTTATATTATCTGTATCTCAAATGGCTTTTCATTCATTCATGCTCTTATTTCTCTTCCAGTAGCCTCAAATATCCACTACCTACTTTCATAGTCTGCTTTAGAGAGTTCCCTCATTTCTCGGTCTTTATGTGCTAATTGTCCTACCTACTGAATCTGCAGTCTCTACACCATGGTGGTCTGTTTTCTACACAGTTTGTGGTTTTTAAAATTTTATGCCTATCTTCAGTGAGACTGTTTTCTTTGGGAGTTCTGAGAGAAGACAGAATCAATAGAGTCTTTTGGCTTAATGAAGGGATCTCAATCATCTTCAAAGTCTGAGAACCCATGCCCAGGAAAGCAGACTAGAAGCTCTCCTTGTTTCCACGGAGCACTGGCTACCACAGATTGTCTACCATGGAGTCTATGAAGTCTGCATTGATAGCAGCATTCCTGCTCTCGCTCTCCAAAGACAAAGGAACAGTTTTACCCTAATGCTGGCCCACATAAAACCTGCTGTTTCTAAATCCGCTTCAGAAATCATCAATTGAGGTTTCCATTGCTTGTTTTGGATTTACTTTGGCAGCTCAGGAAGAGATGAAGGCAAACAGATGAGCAATGGCGGGATGAAGGGCAGAAGAGTCGTCCCTGGTGGGGCAAGGGATGGGAAGGAAACGGAGGCAGGCACTGCAGTGGAGAGAACACTGGGTCAGGTACCCAAAGAGGTGCATCCTAGCCCTATGTCCTCAAGTACGTGGAGCAGCTCTAAGGCTTCCATGACATCACACACACAAGAGCCCTTGTAAAGGGGAAAGCCCTCTGCAGAGAACTACTCTCCTAACTCACAGGATTAGCTGAGCTCTGTGAGCTTATGAACCAAAATGTGCTGTGCAAAGGTCAAGTATCAGAAACAGAAAACGGACGTTGTTTCATTCTAGGTTCCTAGGATATGCTACACCGCAAGTCGGCCTGCAATTTGTTGCTCTTGCTATTCTAATACTTTCCCTCAGTGTCTGTCCTTGGAAGGGTTCCACAATGACAGATAAAAACTGAAGAGGACTATACAGAGAGACTGAACCCAGGCCAGGAAGAGCAGAAGACTTGGTTCCAGAAGGCTCTGAAACAATGTCTGCAGAAAAGCTTCACAAGCCTAGGGCTGGGTGCAGTCCATGACCTAGTCTCTTTGAGTGAGTGTTTCCAGGATGTATGGAGCAGGACTGGGGAGACGTGGAAAAGGTAAGAGCTTTCTCCGGTCTTTGGTCCAACTACCTCTGACCCTTATCTGAATGTGTCACATGGCACTGAAGGCTGTAACTGCATTCTATTGACAAGAACAGAAAACTGCAGGCATTAAAAGGATATATGGTTCTCTACCTTAAAATCTACTTGGGGAGAGCTTTCTGGACCCTAAATGACAATGTTTGTGGTCATATAGTATCTACGCAATAGATAGTGATCTATTTACTGGCAAATAATCTTCAGTAGTGATCAGAGAGGTTCAAATGATTATATTTAGCAGATACCTATTTCCCTTCCTGCCTCCAATTTTATTTTTTACCCTAATGCTGGCCCATAACCTGGAAATCTGGGTATGTCTGTTGTCTGGGGTTAACCAGACCTTCCAACTGCTCTTCCCATTGTTCTAGAATAGAAATCAACTAATAAAAATTGTTAACTGCCCTGTTCTAATGCTGTATTCTTCTTTTTTAGAGAGGGAGAGGGAAAAGAGAAAGGATGGGAAGGGGTAAAGCAAAAGGGAGAGACCCTCAAGCAGGCTCCACACTCAGCATGGAGCCCGACACGGGGCTTGATC